TCCACCATCCAATACGCTTTATCCATCTGAACAACTTTGACCAAGACATCAACCTTCTGTTTAGTTAACACGCAAAAAATTCGACACATTAATTAATTTTAAGTAAGTTATTACCTTATTGTTGGTAAAGCTTTTATCTATTTTTGGATTCCCCTTGTTTACTCCGAAAATAATTCATCCTATTCTACACATTTTTGGGTAATTTTGAACGGGCGTGTAAAAACTATAAGCCAAATCTAGATGAACATTTTAAAAGGCTTGATCTCCTTTGGTCGGTTCGCTTCACTGACTTTCTCTTGCGTTAATACATCCACAGATGAACTAACACAAAAAATTACAGGTGCGCTCTTTCATAACCTCACTATCGGCTATCTGCCTGATAGTCATAGCCAGGCATGGAAAATCATTTGCATTCATTTCGTGCATTGATTTACATTCATTTCTCCCTAACTTTTTTTTACTAACAGAATTCCGCAAAATGATATGTGGAGTTATTATAGGCTTTGTTATTAGCTACAACTTTTGTTAACAACTCAAATCCGTATCACTTATGCATGACGACCCAGAGCGAACAGAATGCACTACTGTTTTTCAGTGAATGTATTTTACATTCACTGAAAAACAGTATCAAGTTCTGCCCGCTCTAGTTCGTGATGCATATTAGATACAGATTTAAGCTACGGGCAAAAGTTGTAGTTAATAACAAAACCTACAAAAGCTCTTTACATCATTTTGCGGACTGCTGTTGATGAAAAAAGTTAGAATGTAAATGAATGCATGAAATGAATGTAAATGATTTTCCATGCCTGGTCATAGCAAAAGCGAGAGCAAGCGAGCACTGAATGGTTGATTATGGTTAAAATGTTTGATCAATTTTCAATAGTTTACTATTGGTAAACAACTATAATATTTACACCAAACGAATCTTACATCAAATTTTAATCAAGTGGTGTAATAAGATTCGAAATCCACCCAATAATTGGTCAAGTTATAAGCGTTCAAAACCTGACACTATTTCGTCACACTTTTTTTCGGTTTGCACCCCGGTTTATTCCACACAGACGTAGTTCATACGTCAATATTAACCATCAGCATAAACTACCTCTCACACTATTTCAAAGCAGTTATCTATGCATTTGGATTTAGTTGGTTCGGTGAGTATCAAAACTGACATTATGATCAGAACTATTCAAGACCTTCAATACCGCGGATCGTTAACCGAAAATAATCTGACGAAGGGAATTTCAATTGAATCTCTAGTATCCAGCCTTGTAGTATCGATACTCTCTAGTTTCGCCAGTTGTGAATCAGTCGAAGTTTTCATTATTCAGTATTTTACAGTATTATTATTCAGTATTACAGTATTTACAAGAAAACTGCACGCGCTGAACCTTAAGGGTTTCGAAGATGACGGAAAGTAAATGTATTTTCACAAGTATTGTAGGACTTTTATAAGTCATAATTATTTACAGGAATATACAGGAACATTTTTTTTTACGTCGAGCTTCAGGACAGTTAAATTTGTCATACAATAATCAACGAGTTCCCAATACGATCAGCCAATTCATTCAATTTGACCTGAATACGCTATCTGTTCGTTAAAGTCCGGGGTTTGAATCAGATGTAGCATTGAATGTTTTTTAAAGAAAGATGCCGAGAATTGTCGTTGGAAAGGTCGTTGTATTACTTCGGAAATTTGACGTACTTCCGGCCACGATGACCGTTGAAGTCACACCTATCTAAGGATTTCTGGAACTTCTACTCGAGCACTTTAACTTGAACCGTGGAAGAGGCGGGAGTGCGAGTAGTTAGTACTTAAGCGTACTTAGTGTCTCGATGTATTTTTCGTGCCTATAGAGTTCAACCGTTAGATCAGAAATTACGTGCGGCCAACTTTTTGTGTGTGCAAAGTGTGTAGACGGCTTTTTGAAGTTTGTAGATTGAAGTTTGCTAAATTAGGTCGTGCTCTCTAGACCCCGCGAGAGAATTCAGAAGGGAGACACCGTTATACTGTTCTCGGACAGAGCGTTGTTTGTTCATGTTCGACGATCCCCTCGTCGACATCTGCGCCTCCAGGTATCGGTGCTAGTTTCAGTACCAACTCGAAGGTTTCGATTGGGAATTTCTTCAGCACACCAGCCCGGGGTGTAATGTGTCACCATCGTTGAATAGGGTGCTACTTTGCCGACCTCACTCCGACAAAGAGATGCTACTTTGCCGATACTGTTGAAGCAGCGACGACAACGGACGGTACCGTGAGCAAACAAAACACATGAGCTCGAAGACAAATAACAGGATAGGCTATCAATCGCTAGAACTAGTTCAGAAAAAAACCGCATACACGATTGGGAAGAGATAGCAAACAAACAAACAAATAAAAAATGAACAATTTGGCCCTGACATAAATGTCGTTTTCGTAAAGTTAAAGCTTGACCCGTAATGTTAATTTTGGTTGGCTAGATTCTTCACATTTTGCGTTATTTTTTAGAATTTTTTGGTAGATGAATTTACTTCTAGGAAAACAATCTCCACATTCACGTGTCAGAATCGGTGAAGGAAATTCTGAAAGGGAAAGTTCCTCCAGTAATGATTTATTGTGAAAGGGGTTGTGGTGTTTCGGTAGAACGACGGGTAGCACCAACTTATACGCTTAAGACCGTTTGAAGCGGCCTTTGTCAGTGAGGATCTCAATCTCCCATTGGATTTCAGTTTGCTGAATCGCCCTCAAACTAAAATTCGGTCATTTCCATACATAAACCCGCCCTGAGGATGGGTTTTCTTGCCGGGCAAATCAAACCTTGACGAGTGGTCCTTTTCGGATGAGGTGCTCAAACCACTCGTTCTAGAGACATATTCAGTGGTCGAAATTTCGAGAGTCGTGCGTTACAATTTTCCTATATCATAGTCCAGAAAACATAAAAGAAGTTGGGAGTCCAAGTCAGAAAAATTGTGGGATTTCGATTAAGTTCCAAGAACTCTAGGACAAATGTGGAAACATAACGTTAGTTCCATTAACAGCAGAAAAATGCGGAGTATCAAGAATGAGAATTTCTAGGAATTTCCATGAATTTAAAAGAAGTTTCGAAAACTTGAGGGTAGTCTCGAAATATTCAAGAACGTCCAGAACTATGCGCAAGTTAAAAATATGTTTCAGATAAGTTCCGATAGCATCAGCGCAGTTCGAGTGATTTCAGGACATTTTCTAATCATTCAATGAAGATCAAAGTGCTTCATTAACTTCAGTAATGATACATAATCTTAACAGAAGTTGTCAACAATTAAGTTGAGTTAAAATATATTTAAGGAAGTTACGAAGTTTCGAACTGTTCTGAGAACTCAGACCATGATGAACCCCTGATAAATTTTGCGAACATTAGGGCAGTTCCATTGAATTGAAGAAACTGCTGGGAATCAAGAAATTTTAAAAAAATACTGAAGGCATCAAAGTTACATGAACAGACTGCGGAATAATAAAGGAACTTCGCCAAGGTAGACAACCCTATGTTCCAATCAAAGACGTGTTGGAAACCAGTTCTGATAAAAATCATTTCTTCTACACTCAACTTAGCTGAAAATGAAGACAACCTTTACAGATAGACCAACTATCTGGATGAATTTGAATTTTGACATAACAACATTCTCTTGATTAAGGTGAGGTGCTTAGACTAAGTGGAGCAAGACGCAACGAGAAACTGAAGACTATAGACTGCTCCAGAAAGTATAAGCATACTTTCAAAATAACAAAAAAGTCATGTTTTTTATGTTTTAATAATTTTATTTGGCAAATCATAGGGTAAATGTTGGCTTCGGCACCCATTGACTGTTTTCGGCAACCAAAATTTAAACGATAATTTCACTATGTTTTCCCATCAACACACTTCCCTGAATGTATTCAAACGATTCTTTAGTCTTTCAGCTTTAATCTGATTATATTTGTACGACCGAGCAATCCTATTATGCTAGATTTTTCTTCAAATGAAGTATACGCACTACAAAATGGGGCTGATTTCGAGTTGCCGATAATAGAACAGCTGGTTAACACGCAGTTCTAATGGGAAGGTTGCCGAAGAAAAAGAGGCTGCCGACAATAGTCACACTCACCTGAGAAGTTTGGAGCGTTGTAAAATCGCTTTCAAACCGGTTTGAAAAATTCTGTCGATTGGAATGGATAGAGAAGCAAGCAGCAGATGAATGTTAACAAACAGACACGTGATATATGTGCGTAACGCTGACAAAATGCTAATAGAAGTGCGGACGCTGCTTAGATTGACGAGAATACGTAAATTCCCCTATTTGTATTTGTATTTCAAATGATATTTTACTCTCGTTTAATCAACATATTTAATCATAGCCAAGACTCCTAACTTTTCCTCGAACATGACCCATTAGCTTCTGCACAGTAGTACCACAAACGAAGTGACAGACGGAGCGGCTCGAAAACTTTGGTGACTAACCTGCTATTTCAATTTTTCAGTGTACCACATGGCAACACCACTACTACTGGATTGTACCACATGGCAACACTACTACTGGATTGTACTAGCATTTTCATCAAATGTATTAGAATGTTTTGGTTCTATCTCTTTCACTCTACTCAAAACTGAAATGCATAAAAAAATTACAAAATGATACACTCTTTGCACACTGTCAAAGAATCATTATACACAAAATCAACTTTGTTCAAATCAAAACAAAAAAACTAACCCATCTGGTGGATGATGGCACAAGCTTCCAAGAAAATTCTATTACAGTGAACCACATTATTTTCTTGGCCAGTTAGTCGTCTGTCACTTCGTTTGTGGTGGTACTTCCCACCATTTAGACCACTTTTGGCCAATCTTTTTTAAATTTTTGGATGTCGTCCGCTGGTTTTATTAATTTTCGAAGTTTTGCTTTGGTTAAAGCCCAAAAAGTCTCGATTGGCCGTGCCTCCGAGCAGTTCGGCGGATTCATGTCTTTCGGCACGAAACATACATTTTGACTTTTGTACCATTGTTGTTACAGGAGCGGATTCAGTTTCGGATTCCTATGAGCAAACTCGTAATTTGTGTTGAGTAAGCTTTAAGCTGTAAATTTAATTATTGTTACTTTTTGTTTATAGGTTTTACAATTTTAGGTTATCTTACATTGATTTGTCCTTTACTTTAATTGATCCGTCGTGTTGTAACAATAGGTGTTTGTTCCAATTTGTGTTTATGCTAAATTGTACAAATTATGCGTATTATTTTTGTTTCTCAAATTAATTTAATACTTACAATAAATTCACGTAATCACGATATCCAGGATAACTAGCAAATATTTTATTTAATAGATACTTTAGCAATAATAAATTCTTCCTCCACCACTATTCTATTTTCTATGTTTTCTTTATAAAACAATTGAGCTGTCCTATTGAAGCAATTCTTTTATATATGCCCTACCGGAGTAAACCTTTTAAACGTCACTCATTTCACCTCCCTTTGTGAGGGTGGTACTGAACGAGCTCATCTGTGTTGCCAACATGCTCCCGCCTGTACTGCTTCAAGTGCCCTTAAGCTGTACCTCCTTTTCTGGTAACATCTAGGACAGCGAGCTTAGTCGCCGGTCGATGCATGATACCTGCAGAGGTCTGTACATCCGCGCTGCGAACTCTTCCATCACGTCCAGGATACACTCGAGTGATTCTGCCTCTTATCCAACTGTTCCTAACGCCCTCGTTTACAATGATGACCAGATCTCCGACGTTGATAGGTGTCGCCTCTCCAAACCATTTTGGCTGTCGGGAGATAACAGGCAGATATTCTCGAATCCATCGCATCCAAAACCTATCTAGCATAACCTGAACATGCTTCCAGTTTGATCGCAGTACCGCACACTCCTCAATTGGCCACACCGCTGGCTGGACCACGCCACTCGAACTCAACAATAGAAAGTGGTTCGGTGTTAAAGCTGCGCATTCCTCGCTGTCGATCGGTAGATAGGTTAAGGGACGCGAGTTCACTATAGATTCCACCTCCGCAAGAGCCGTTATAAAAGTCTCCTCATCCGGATTCCTCGGCAACTCCATGTGCGCTAGACCTGTCTTGACCGAGCGTACCAGCCTTTCCCATATTCCCCCCATATGTGGAGCGTACGGAGGGTTTAGCTTCCATTGGGTTTCTGCGTTTGTGAACGTCCCTGCTAGATCCCGATTTATGGCACCGATCTGCTGCCTTAACTCTGCGCTAGCCCCTTGGAAGTTGGTTCCTTGATCAGAGTAAATTTCCTGTGGTGCACCTCGGCGGGCGATGAATCTACGTATTGCCATCTTGCAGGATTCAGAAGACAGACTGTAGGCGACTTCCAAGTGGACTGCTCGAGTTCCTAAGCAGGTAAAGAGCGCTACCCACCGTTTGACTCCACCACGTCCAAAGCGAACAGTGATCGGCCCGAAATAGTCCAGTCCCGTAAAGGTGAAGGCCCTGACATACGGCGTGAGACGAGCAGAAGGCAGAGGAGCCATTGGTGGTACTTGTGGTTTGGATTTGTATACTCTGCACCAGTAGCAGCCACTTGCCACTTTCTTGACGGCTGTTCGCAGTTCGGAAATGTGAAACTTCTGCCGAATCTCGTTCACCACCGTTTCATTATTGGCGTGTCCGTACTTCCTGTGATACCAGTTGATCATTAGTTGAGTGACGTAGTGATCCTTAGGCAAAATCACGGGAAACTTGCTTTCGTACGACGCGCACTCCGCGGCAGCGATGCGGGATCCCATTCTCATGAATCCATATGAGTCCAGAAACGGGGATAATTTGAAGGCTCGACTGCTTTTCTGGATTTGTCTACGTTCTTCTGGCTGCACTTCATGATTTTTGTGAAGAATGCTGCATTCCTCCGGATACTCGCTCGCTTGGATCAGCTTATATACAGCTGACTCCGCTTGTTTCCACTCCTCGCTGTTCACACTACTCGGGGTTACTTCTCCGTCCTGTTTTGATCCGTCTCGACAAATATGCTTGCAGCCAAATCGTAGAACGAATGCCACTGTACGGGTCAACCTTTTCCACTTCGAGAAGCGTTCGAATTCGATGACCGACTGCGTCGATAGTTGCTGGTGCACATAAACCACCCTTAATTCTTCCGCTGTAGTCGGCTCGATCGCATCCTCTGGCCAGTCACACTCTGGTTTATACAGGAACTGTGGACCCTTGAACCACCTGCTGTGTTCATCGAAGCATGGGCCATGTCCCCATTTGGTGGCTTTCTCAGCAACGTTCATCCTGGTTGGAACCTTCCTCCAATCGCTGACTTCCGTTTCATCCAGGATCTCTGTTACCCGGAACGCTACAAACTGCTTATAGTTCCGCGGATCTGACCGTAGCCAGTTCAGAACCGTTGAAGAATCACTCCACAATACTTTGCGCTTGATCTGCAAACTGTGACTCGAAATGACAGACTTCATGAGCCGTGTTCCAATCACAGCTGCTTGCAGCTCTAACCGTGGTACTGACAGCAATTTGATCGGCGCTACCTTGGTTCTTGCACACACCAGACTACAGCGTACTTCTCCACTGTCCACAATCCGGAAGTAGGCTGCGGCAGCATATGCAGTGCTGCTAGCATCCACGAAAACGTGCAATTCAAGCGAATCGTAGGCTCCAGGATTGTATCCTGGAAAGTAGCATCTGGGTATCTTCACCATATCCAATGTTCCAAGTAGTTTGGCATACTGCTCCCATCGTGATATGATATTCGCAGGTAGTGGCTTGTCCCAGCCAATTCCGGATCTCCACACATCCTGGACTATCGTCTTCCCATGCACCACGAAAGGAGCGACCATCCCTAACGGATCAAAAATGCTCATGACTAAGCTCAGGAGCTGGCGTTTGGTTGGTACAACGGATCCATCCAGTAGACTTTTCAGATCATCTCGGAGAGTCATTGAGAATACGAAGACGTCCTATTGTGGTCGCCATACCATCCCTAAAACTCGCTCCAGGTTGCTGCCCTTGTCCATGGTGAAGCTCTTCACCGACTTCGTATTCTGCTCTCCAATCCGCTGGAGCACCTCAAGAGAGTTCGACATCCAATGCCGAATGAGGAATCCTGCCTTTTCGTGGACTTCCTTGAGGTCTAATGCCAGTTGAACTGCTTCTTCGACCGTATCGACGCTGTCAAGATAATCGTCCACATAATGGTTCTCCTTAATCGCCTCAGACGCCTCCGGGAACTCCGCAGCATATTCCTCCGCATTCAGGTTCTTCACAAATTGCGTTGAACTTGGAGAACATGTTGATCCGAAAATAGCGACATCCATGACGTATATTTGAACTGGATCCGATGGATTGTCCCGCCACAAGAACCACTGAGCTGTACGATCTTGCAGTCTGATGAGTACTTGATGGAACATTTCCATTATATCTCCGCTGATGGCGATCTCCTTCTGTCGATACCGGCACAAAACTGCTAGCAGAGATGTTAGTAGGTCCGGTCCTTTTAGAAGGACGGAGTTCAAGGAAACACCTTCTACTGATGCTGCGGCGTCCCAGACAACCCTGACTTTATCGGGTTTTTTGGGATTCACTACAACACCCAGGGGTAAAAACCACGTCCGCTTCGGATCCATCTCTTCTAGTTCACGTGGAGTTGCTTTGTGTGCGTACCCCTTGGATACGTAGTCCACAATTTGCTGCCTAACATTGGCGTATAATGCTGGTGATTTAAGCAGACGACGTTCTAAACACTTCAGTCTCCGCTCTGCCATGGGCCTGCTGTTGGGAAATTTGACGTTGTCGAACTTCCACAAAAGTCCGGTTTCGAATCTGCCAGTTTCAGTTCTGATCGTGGTTGCTTGAAGAATTTCTTGAGCTCGCTTGTCATCCGCTGATTCTCTAGCCTGTGTCACCGAAACACCAACACTTTCCATAGAGAAAAAACTCTTCACCAGCTCGTGCAATTCGTCATTACGTGATTTGGTACTAATATGAAGAACTCTATGCGATGAATTCCCAAATTCATTCCCCGAGCGACCATACAAAACCCAGCCCAGCCTACTTTTGGCGACTACTGGCTCGTGTTCGCGGCCTTCGCGCAACTTCAGCGTGGTCTTCAACCTTGTGTTGTCCAAACCAATCAGGATTCCTGGAACGGCGTCGTTGTAGCTTTGAACCGGAAGACCTCTCATATACGGATATTTGCCCTTAAGTTCTTCAAAGTGCATGGACTGTCGTGGTAGTTCTAGTCCATCGACGCTTTGAACTCTGCGTAGGGTGAACTGCTTGTCCGTGATCGATCCCGAAATGTCCAGTTGAATTTGCTGGGATTCTTCTTCCACACGCTTGACTCCATTGGTCCACTGCATGCAGAGCGGAGAAGTTGGACCTTGTACACCCAACTGCTCTGCCAAAGATCGTTCCATCAAAGTGGAATCTGAACCACCATCCAAGAAAGCGAATGTTTGTACCGATCGACCGTTGGCGTGAAGGACTACCGGGATGATACGAAACAGAACTTGGTGCTGTTGTTTATGAACAGAGATTACGCCAGAAACCGGAGCTGAACCCTCTGCTTTGGGTTCTCGTGGATCACCCGGATGGAGCAATCGGTGATGCCGTTGTTGACAGCCATTGACCCCGCAGTTTGATGCTTTGCACGGCCATTTACCATGCGGATACAAGCAGCGTCGACAGAGACTCACTTCTTGGGTTACCTTCCATTTGTCTTCTAACGTCTTCGACTTGAAGCTACAGCAATCCTTTGGTTTGTGCCCGGTTTTTTGACAAACAACACAAGGACGCTCGCTCCCCGTTTGGTTGGAAGGATCTGGTTTCTTGTTGGTTGCCTTGTCGTTCCGGATGTTCACCGTGTGTATCTCGGCTTTCCCTTTCAACTTTTCGGATTTGGTGGTGACTGGTGTAACACTACTAGCTGCCGTTACGATCACGTTCATGTAATCCGAAAATGTCCTCAAGTCCACGTTCTGCACTCGTTGCTTATGCATCGCCCAATCCAGCTTAATGTTGGCTGGAAGCTTTTCGACTAGCTCATCGATCAAGATCGGATTAGTCAAATGTACCTGTTGTCCAGTCGACACTAGATGCGTACAGAAATTGCGAACAGCCAGGCCGAAATTGATGATAGTCCCCAGTTTTTCTGGTCGCGGTGTCGGTGTTGCTCGCACCTCAGCCAGAAGAGAGTTGATGATTGCTTCCGGTCGTCCATACAGAACTCGCAACGTGTTGATTATCTCCGGAACGTTTGACGGATGAAGAAGAAAACTGCTCACTGCTTTCTTTGCGTCCCCTTTCAAGCTTCGTTGTTCTCTCAGGTTCTCCGAATCGTTGTACCCACACATCTGCGTGGACGTATCATAGCTGCTCCAGAACATCGGCCACTCTATTGGATCCCCAGTAAAACACGGAAGGTCTTTGGGAACAACGTGACGTGCTGCCAACTGCTGCGCATTCGGGCCGTACGATGGCTGAAACACCCCATACTGAAACTGTGGGTTTGGTACAGCTGGTATAGGTGTTTGATAACTCGAGACACTCACTACAGGAGGACGAAGTGGCGGTCGAGAATTACCCCATGTTTGCGAAAGCATTGGTACGGTTTGTGTGTGAGAAACAGCGAAAGGAGCATTTTGTGACACCAGAGGATTTGAAAAACTTAAAGGCTGGTTCCTATTTAAGAAATAGCTATCGGAATCTAAGTGCGAAACGTTTCTAGGTATTTCGGAGTGCCCTAACTGCCCTAGTGTTGGCTGGAAAGTATGTGATGGTTGGACATAGTTTTGATTGGTTGGTTCCACAGTTCTTCTTGCGAAAACTTCTGAGCTGGTAATACTCACCATGTTCGAAGTAGGTACTACATACGGATTGTACTGACCAACTCGAGGATCCATCCAATAACGTCTGTCTTCTCGTGGTTGATTGTGTCCGCCATGTGATACCGGTACAGTAATCTGAGGAAACATCGTACTGCCACCGACTATTGTTCCTAAATCCGGAACCAGCTGGTTGACTGCAGGTGGAATCAGATTGGTATTCGCCTGCCACGTTACTGTCGGCTGCACAGTTGGAATACTCGTCAGCGACACAGATGCTGCCCGGGGCGTTGATTGAAGCAATGTTGGAAGTGATAGGGCTGGATCTGCGACACTAGTGAAACCTCCCTGGTGTGCGGTCGCAATAGGTGAGATGACGTCATCAAAGTTTTTCGAAAACACACCTCCTTGTGTGCTAACCTGTTTCGATCCCGCTTCTTGGCTGGTAACTGCTGAAACTGGAACTACATTCGAGCTGTTTTGCGCTGTGCTTGCTACCGGCATCGATTTCGTTGGCACGATGTGGCCACCCGCTTGCGATGTGAGCCCAGTGGAAATAACTTTTCCAGATTTGGCACTCAGGATCACTTGGTGGTTTTCGATCCAGCATCGAACTTTATCGACGCTATCGGCTGCACTGTCACCGCTACACATACTCGCTCTTGAACTTGCCTTAGCATCCTCATCCAATCGCGCGTGAAGCAACTTGAATTTCCGTTCCAGAAACTCCTTCTCCAGTTTCATCAGATCCTCCATCATCTTTTCCCTCCTGTCCTTTTCTAATTGCAAAGCCTTCTCCTGCATCTCCTGGTCCTGTTTCGCCTTTTCCGCCATCAGCTTGGCTTGAAGTTCCTTTTCTTCGGCCAATTGCTGCATTTCCAAGTGAAGTTTTGCCTCTCTTGCACTTGCAGTCGTCGATGGTGTTGACCTTACCGAGGACGGTGCACGGGA